TCGGGAAAATAAATATAAGAAAGTTTTTTTGGTTTAAAATTTTTAATGTTAATTTATTTAATAACTATATATTATCATCATTTCTCTGTCATTAGGTGCTTTCCTTTTACATCAAAACTCAAATAAATATCACTTCTGTTTTTCTTCAACATTAATGTTAAAGACAAAAGTGAGATTTATCTGAGTTTTGATATAAATGGAAAGCACCTATTATTATAAGAGAACTGTAGAACGACTTACCATATGATCACTGGTAAGTTGCATATAGTTCTTATTCCTACCGCACTCTTAACCTATGTCGCCACCGGTAACTCAGAGTTTCACGGTGAGTACTCCGGAGCCTTAAATATGCTCGTGCAGGAGCCTCACAAACAAAATTATGTAATACAACTGTTATGTGTGGTTTTAAATGAATTCACAATCAGGCTGGGAAGGAATACAACTGATAGTTTATAAAGACTTTAATTATATGGTATATCCTTACACGTACGTATAACCGTCTATTCCGTCTCTTGTTGTGTGTACTGCTTAAGCCTAATCCACAACATCTCCCCTTTTAATTGCATCTTGCCATACAAACTAAACAAAGTAGTACTTATTCATAACTTACAGATAGATCACATATTTGCCTACATTATAATTAAATTTTTTTTTTTTTTTTTTACATTATAACTTAATCCTATTGTGAGAGTTATTATCGTTATCGATTATTACTGTATTCTTATTTCTATTTCATATATAAATAATCTTTAAATTTTTCTGGTTTTTTAACTGTGCGTCCAGCCCTTGTTACATACTGTGAACCTTCCTGCTTACTCCCATTAGATCTGATTTTTTCTTTTCCACCAACTGAGTTATTACTTGCATTCTCAATATCACCCATTCTCTGTACTGACACTTCCGTTTCATTTTTATCAGATAACTTTTCTCTTGAATTTATGTGAATGTTATTTCTATTATATACTCCTCCTTTCTCACCTTGAACTACATATGATCTTGGAGTGGATCCAATTGCTTGGACTGTTCCTGGAGTCCATGTTGCTTTGGGCATTTTTTGAAATAATATTAGTTCTCCAACTTTGAACTTAGTCTCTTTTCTAGCTGTTTTGTCATAATACTTTGATAACATTTTATTTTGCTCTAATATTATTTGATCCTTCTTATACGTTATTTTAGGAATTAACATTTTGAATGAGCACGGGATGTTGGTTCGTAAATTTCTACCCATTAGAAGCGAAGCAGGAGAATGGACTTTATCGCGAGGCGTATTTCTTAAATTTAACAGAGCCAAATAAGGATCCTCTCCAGCATCGAATGCTTTTTTAAATAGTTTCTTTATTGATTTAACCGCACTTTCTGCTAATCCATTAGATTTTGGATAATGAGGACTAGACATAATATGGGTAAAACTCCAATTTTTTGTAAATCGTTTAAACAGTTCAGAATCAAAGCATAACGCTCCATCCGTGTATAGTATCAACGGTATGCCATGTCTAGCAAAAATTGTCTTTAATTTCTCAATGACTGTAGCACTTTTCAAATCACTTAATGATACTACCTCAATAAAATTTGATAATGAGTCCACTACTACTATATAGTATTTCTGATTTAACTCAAATATATCACAGCCTACCTCTGCCCATGGCAGCTTTGGAACCTTTTTGTATCTCATTATCTGTTTAATTTGACCATTTTGAAATTTCTGACAACTTTTGCACGACTTCACATATTTTTTTATGTCCTGATTTATTCCTTTCCAATACATCGTCATTTCAGCTCTTTTGATCATTCTATTTATGCCAGGATGACCTGTGTGCAGCTTAGTCAGCATGTATTTTTTTAAGGCTGTTGGAATTAAAATCCTATCCCCTCTAAAGATTATTTCTTTAATGACCACTAACTCCTCTTTGAATTCAAAAAACGGTTTCACCTTCTCCTCAATCTCTTTATAATTTGTAGGCCATCCTTTCAAAATGTATTGTTTTACTTTTGTTAATAACGAATCCTCTAGATAACCTTGTGAAATTAGTTTCCAATTATCCTTTGTTACCGGTATATTTTCAATTAGCATTGCTATTTGCTTTTCTATGTCTTCATCAAAGTCCTTTTGACTATCACTACTATCACAACTAGTTCTTGAAAAATCTCTGGACAATGCATCCGCAATGTACATATATTTGCCTGGAACATGTTTAATGGTCAGACGAAACGGTTGAAGTCTCAACATCATTCTTTGTAATCGCGTTGGAACTTTGTATAATGGCTTATTGAAAATTCCTACTAAAGGTTTGTGATCTGTTTCCACTAGTACTGCATCTCGTCCCCAGATATATTGTCTGAATCTCTCAACCCCAAAGCATATTGCCAATAATTCCTTTTCTATTTGTGAATATCTTGTTTGTACTTCGGTTAATGCTCGTGATGCATATGCAATAGGCTGACCCTCTTGAATTAATGTAGCCCCCAATCCTATCGAACTTGCATCTACACTTAACGTTAACTTTTTATTAGGATCATAGTATCCTAACACTGGGGCTTGAGTAATTAGTTTTTTTAATAACTGAAATGCCTTCCTTTGACTATCAGTCCATACAAATTCGTTATCTATTTTTAACAAATCTCTTAAAGGGGCACAAATTGCTGAGTAATTTGGAATAAATTTTGACATATAATTAAACATTCCCAGGGCTCTTTGAAGTGATTGTTTATTTGTGGGATCTTTTATTTCTTTAATTGCTTTGATCTTTTCTTGACTCACCGACATTCCTTTATGACAAAATTTATGACCTAAAAAACTAATTGTTTCTGTACCGAAAATACACTTTTTTGGATTAAACTTTATGCCTTGTGCTCTGGCTGCTTGTAATACTTTAATTAGAACACTATGCAGTTCTTTTTTTGTACTTGCCCACAGTAGAATATCATCCTGAAAGGAAACCACCTTCTCAATATTTTCAAAAGTTTGTGAAATAATTCTATGAAAAATTTCTGGAGCACAATTTAATCCAAAAGGTAGCCTCTTAAAAGCATATCTTCCCCAAGCTGTTTGAAACGTACATAATTTAGAACTATTCTTATCAAGTGGTATCATCCAAAATCCCGATTGTGCATCTAACTTACAAAAATATTTAGCTCCCACCAGTTTAGCTGCAATTTCGTCCATAGTAGGAAACATATAATGTTCCCTCTTAATAGCTTTATTTAACGGTTGAAGGTTCAGACAAATTCTCAAATCTCCATCTTTTTTACTTACTATAACCATCTGACTAACCCAATCCGTAGGTTCGGTAATTGGTTCAATAATACCCATTTTTTGCATTCTATCTAACTCTGCCTTTACATGGGGTCGTAATGCGTATGGAATTCTTCGCGCTGGTAATACTATCGGTGCCACTTTGGGATCTACTTTAATTGTGACTTCTGTCGGTATATGTCCCACCTGACCATCAAACAGCTCCTTATATTCCGCAGGAACTCAGCAATCTCCATCCTTTGACAATGAATCCTAACTGTTCGCTAGTTTTTAGGCCTAGAATATTAAAACAGTCAATATCCACTACGTAAAATTCAACCAGACAATCAATATTCTTATATCTACACGGTACGTTACATTTGCCCACAACCGGTAGTCTATTTTTAGTAAAAGACGTAATTACTGACTTTGTTTTTACCAGTTTTTTAGGATTAATACCTAGCTGTATACATTGTTTGAGACTTAAGACATTAACCTGCGCACCAGAATCGCATTTAAATTCTACTTTTTGTCCTTTAACTAATAAACTTACAATATACCACTCCTTGGAGCTTTGTTTTGTATCGCAAACAGCTGAGACTTGAAGCTCCTCGACCATGTACTCTATGTCTTCGTCTTCCTCCAAATTTCTTTCTTCTATAGTATCCACCGGTCTCTTCTTCTCTGCTTGGCACACTTTAGCAAAGTGATTACGCTTGTTACATTTTGAGCATTCTTTTCCAAACGCTGGACATCTTCCATACCAATGTTTGTAGCCACAGTATTTGCACTCGATCTTCTTTTGTTGATTGATATTACCTCTTGACTTGTTTTTCATATCAATTCTGGTCTCCCCTGTATCTCTTCCTTTACTCTTCTTTAGCACTTCTATATTTGCTTCTTGTTTGATTGCCAGGCTTGCCTCTTCTTTATCATCTAAAGTTTTGATATTTTGAACTTGACCAGCTACTGTCACATGTGTTCGACAAATCTGAAGAGCTCTGTTAATATCAATATCAATCGTATTGAGTAGTTTTTCTTGGATCTTCTTGTCTCGTATTCCACTGATGAATGCATCTTTAACTAAACTGTCTCTTAATTCTCTTAATTCACATGTTAGACTTATATTTTTCAAAGCAGTCATATAATGTTCATATGCTTCCCCTTCTTCTTGTCGTCGATTAAACAAGAGATATCGTTGATATGTCACATTTGTTGCTGGTAAATAATGTTCATTGAATTTTCTCAGTACTATCTCTAGCTTCTTTTTATCTTCGTCATTTAGTTGAAAAGATTCAAACACTTCCGCAGCATCCTCCCCCGCCGAATGTAGTAATATGGCTACTTTTCTACTTTCTGTTGCCTCCTCGTAATAAGCATTGACAAATGTAAGAAACTGTCTCTTGAATTTTCTCCAATTAATTGCCATATCACCAGCCGTGCACAATGATGTTAACGATCCCATTGTAATCGTTTCCATTATGATTATTTTTTAGGTTAGTTCGTTTTCTTTCTCTTTTCTATGTCTGTTCTTCAATTTACACCGCTGTCACCATGTTATGTGTGGTTTTAAATGAATTCACAATCAGGCTGGGAAGGAATACAACTGATAGTTTATAAAGACTTTAATTATATGGTATATCCTTACACGTACGTATAACCGTCTATTCCGTCTCTTGTTGTGCGTACTGCTTAAGCCTAATCCACAACAACAACTTTATATTTCTTTCCATTAATTTCTATGCCTTGTATTAAAAATTCGAGTTCGTTTATAAAATCTTTTAAATATATGTCTAAAGGATCAGGTTTTGAAGTACCACGAAATATTCCTATTGGAAATGGGCTATTAGTTACATGTTTTAATAAACATAGAATCAGCATCATAATTGTATATTGCTACTATGAAAAAGTGGTAAGCCATCAATGTTGATTTATAACTGAATTTCTTTATAACAAGATGAATTGTCATGTTCAGTTTAAATTCTTTCTAAATTTATTAAAAGTCCAAAATGATAATATTCTCCATTATTTAGCTTTTTTGATGTCATTATGGAAAGAGTACGTAATAGAGTTTTGCTGCTAAGTGGTCTGGATGAAAAGGCCGTAACAAATATAATAGCTCCGTAATACGAACATGTGGTACATTTCCCTTTATAGTTCATTCTCATAATTTAGAAACTACATCGAAACGATTATTGTCACTTTCATTGGAAAGATTATTGTCATTATCAATAGATAAAATCTTATAATTTTCAATGGATACAGGTAATTCGTTGTCAAAAAGAATATTTTCAATTAATTGAGTATTATAAGTACTATGAAATGTATTACTATTATTATCAAGTATGTTAGAACTATTGCATAAATATTTAAAATTAAAATCAATTTCATTAGACATACTGTAGTTACAATGCACAACATTTTTAATATGAATAAATTATAAAACACAATTCCTAAATGATATAAAAAATCAATAAGGAATTTATTATGAGTCATAAACATATATCATCGAAACTTAATATTTAAAATAAACTTAATATTTAACTTAATATTTAAAATTTGTATCATTTCATCCACTAATTGATATACATTCTGTCAAAAAAGTATTGGGAATTGTCGATTTAAACTGCCTGCGCTAGTCGAAGGTATGAAAATTTATTTTTCTCAAGTTGGTAGAACTGTCCTTTATTATGATGCCAAATTTGAGTGGAATCTGTCAACCAGTGTGTTTACAACAGCTGGTTAAGTCAGTCGATGTCAGTAGTGCGTGCCGATTTTTACAATGAGTGAAAATATTGAACAAAGAATTTGTCTCAAATTTTATGTTGCGAGAGGTAGCACACGAACTTAACATGTCCCATAAGTCCGTTCGTTCGATTTTGGTCGATAATTTGGACATACGATAATGCGCCGTCTCACCGAGCTACGATTGTAACCGATTTTCTTGCTAAAAACTCAACAAATGTACTTGAACAACCACCGTATTCACCAGATTTGGCACCGTGTGACTTCTTCCTCTTCCCAAAACTGAAATTGCCGCTCCGGGGTACCCGTTTGAAACCATAAAACAAAAATCAGCGCGTGAGCTAAAGGTCATTCCGGAAAGCGCCTATAAGAAATGTTTCGAAGATTGGAAAAAACGATAGCATACGTTGCTTCAAATAGAGCCTACTTTGAAGGCGACCCAATAAATTTTGATAAATAAATGAAATATGTGTCTTTTATTTAACAATTCCCGGTACTTTCTTGACAGAATGTATTTACCTTATAAGTCTTAAATACTTTAAGTCTTAACTCTTTTGATGCTTAAAAAATATACTAATATTATTTTTTTGGATTTAATGTTCACAGCACTCTTTTATTATGAATTAATAGATTATTTCTTACTTTTATTTAAATTTTTGACGCGTTGTGGTGCATGTTTTAACCATATCTTCAACACATCTTCAACGTTGCGATCAGTTGCATCAAAACAACAGCTTTTTACAGCATCTTCAATAATATTGCAAAAAATTTTTGAAAATTAATAATCTTAATTATTAGTAATCTTTTACTAAATTATCACTAGAACTACAGCTGTATCCTTTCTAATCCATTTGACAGTTCTTTCTTTACCAATTAATTTGGATTTCCACTTGGAGTTTTAGATTTTTGTAACTTTTCATAAATAATGATCATAATTAATTACAAAAAACCTAAAGCTCTAGTACAAATTGAAATTAACTGAAAAAGAAAGAATTGGTCAAAAATTGCACAGCCTAAAGCCTGGTGCAGACAGAACGCGTCAAGCAGCGAGCAGCAACCAATTAGTGAAGCGGTATTTTCTACGCTGATATCGCCTCGCTAATTAGATTGCTGCTCGCTGCTTGACGTTTGACGCGTCCTGTCTGCACCAGACATAATTCTAGTATTAAAGTCAATAAAAATAAAAGTAAGTACTTACTAATAACTGCTGTTTTTAATAAACATTCAGAAAATCGTTTTTTATTGTCTCGTTTCCCATAAAAAGAAAACCTTGTGGCTAAATTATCTGTATATAAAAATTTCATTGTTTTGTTAGTTAAAGTAGTTATGTTTGTATCACCTAAACTTGCCAAATAAATACAAAACCTGAAAAGTAGTTTTTAAATAAAATATTTTTGAAATAAAAAAATTAGATAAAATAATTAATAAGCGAATAGTTTCTATTTACCAAAGCATTCAATTTGTCCTCTTTCTTTAAATAATTCTCTAAAATTTCTAGCTGTTGTAGAGTATCGATAGGAAACTGTATTGGTATATCAGACGGTAAAATACTTGGCGCTTTTTGTAATTTATTTTCCTTTAATAAGGCTAGTATTTGTATATTATACTCCTTTATTTCAATCATAAATTCTAATAATTGTTTCTGAAATGCTAATTAATTTTTATTATTTTAATTTTGTATTTTTGAAAACTACAAATTATTATTATTATTTTATTATTTATATTTTGTACTTACATAATTCGTCTAACGATTTAACTAATTTAATATTTTTAGGAGACGAATATGCAATATTATTTTTTGCAACTAAAGCATTTGGAGTATTTGATGTACTAGCAATTGAAATATTTGATCTACTAGCAAATCTTTCCACAATTAGCGGAATATTAGAAACTTTGATTACAGGTTCACCGTTTACTTGTAATTCATCATCTGTAAAATATAAATACAAATTTCAGTTTTTTAAATTCATAAAAAATAAGTATAAATAAAATTATTATTGTTAAAGGTTTTAGGGTTTTAGGCGCAATAAGAGACTTTAACTTTATAAAATGTTATAGCTTTATTAATCACGCCTTATAGACACGTCTTCACTCTTGAACGCGCGGAGCCAGAGTGAGAGATAAGAGAGAACGCTCGTAGAGCGCTCGCTCGCCTAGACAAAGAAGCACACATACATTATATATATGTATAACGTATAAACAAAAGAGGACATAGACGGGCGGTCATAATCTGTTTGGTTTCTGTCTTATTCTGTCTTATTCTTTCTTTTTGACACTCCCTCCCGACCGTTTTATTATCTCTAGTCGATCTCTCTTAATTACACAGTCTCTTCTTTAATCACCGTGCCTCTGACTCCACCCGGTTCAACTGCTCTATTTATTTATTTTCTGTAAACATAAGAAATCAAGTATTAGTATTCATTAGTTTGTCTACTAAATATTTATGTAATTCAAATGACAGAGGTTTTGTGAACACATCAGTCAACTGTTCTTTAGATTTTATCCATTTTATCTTAATTAACCCTCTTTTTACACATTCTTTAATATGATGTTCTTTAATTTCAATTATATGTCTAAGTTTATTTCCCCCGTTAGTTTCTGCACTAACTAATGCAGCCTTGTTATCGCATCATAATATCATAGGAAGAAAGGGTTTAATTAAAATCAATTTCAAGGAGTTACGTAGAGAGCATTTCTTGACTCGCCTCGCTCATAGCTACGTATTCCGCATGACACGTTGACAAAGCAATATATTGCTGTTTGTGGGTACGCCAACTTATCGTATCACCAAATAATTTAATCGCATAATTTAATCCACAAGTTGTTAGTGCATTTTTACAGTCTCCGAAGCTCGCATCTAAGTAAGTTTGGATATCATCAGTCTCACCTCGATAAATTAACCTCATTGTTTTTGTACCTTTTAAGTATCTAAAAACTCTTTCGATCATAGTCCATTCATTTTGTGTAGGATTTAGTTGGTGTCTGCTCAAGACATTAATAGCATATATTATATCTAGCCTTGTCGCCCTGCCAAATATAGTAAACTTCCAACAGCTTCTCTATAAGGAAGTTTTTCTTTCGTTTTTGTCTCACCTAAATTTTCATCATTGTTTTCCATTTCTCTTTCCTTTCTTTCTCGATTATTTACTTAAGTTGTATTCATTGGAGTTCTCTGTGGATGCGAATTTTCAAAGCCAAATCTGATTAATAATTTATCTATATATTTCTCTTGATTTAGTTCAATAATTCTATTTTCTTTGTCACGTTTGATGGAAATACCCAGGAATTCTTTTGGTTCACCTAAAATAGACATCTCAAATTCTTTATTCAGTTTTTTTATTACCTTACCTAATTTGACTTCATCATTGCTTGCAGCTAGAATATCATCTACATATAGTAACAATATTAAAAATGTCTCTCCTTCTCGCCACATAAACAAGCAAAGTTCCAAGTCTGAGTTTTCTATGCCTAAGCTTAGTCCCACCTCTGTGAATTTTTCGTTCCAACGTTTAGGACTGATACTTAATCCATACATCGCTCGTTGTAATTTACATACGTACTCATCTCTGTCCTTGTTTGTGTGACACGTTCCTTCTGGTATTTCCATGTAAATTTCTTCTTTAATCTCTCTCTCTTCTCACCATTTAAAAACGCTGTTTTAACGTCTAGTTGACACGTTATTAAATTGTATTTGTTGATAATAACCAATACAGCTCGAAC